ATGCAGGGTTCAAGCGTGCCATAAGCTAGAGACCATTCCCCAAGGCTTCTCCTTATATACAGGAAGCAGACCACATCCCTAAAGCAGCTACTCAGCTGCTCACAGTAGATTCCACCATGGAGTTGATTACCAGTCTCATCACGGGGAATACTACATCCAGCTGCTCACCAGTCAACCAGGCCCAGCCAAGATGCCACCCAAACTTAACTACCAAGGTGTGCAAAATTGAATAAATTAGTATTAACTGGTCTTCCTTGTAGGCATATGGATATTATCCTGTCACTTACAGCATTGTGCTTCTGGATAGATCTGGAAGTGCTCCTTTTGATGATGAATGTGATGCCATTCCTCTTCAAATGGTCATTGCTAGCATAGTAGATTATCTGATTTAAAACAGCTGATAGCAGTCCATTTCAACTCACTGATGCCTAGGATATCAATTTTATGCGTTCCATTTCATTTTTGACAACTTCCAATTTTCCTAGATTCATACTTCATGCATTCCATGTTCTGATTATAAATGAATGTCTGCAGCTGTTTCTTCCTATTTTGAGTTGTGCCCCTGATGGGGCAAATGAAGATCCCAAAAGCTTTACTCCATCCACGTCATTAAGGTCCACTCTACTTTGAGGAGACAGCTCTTCCCCAGAGGTAGAGCCTTCCAACCAGAGGGGCTCATCTTCCGGCACTATGTCAGATAATGTTTCGCTGCTATTTATAATGTTTTCCAGTAATGTATCAGACAATGATTCACTGTTATTCATTAGATATTCAGTGGCCAATTTTTCACAAGTGGATAGCCCCGTCCTTCTTCCCAGTCTGTTTTAGTGTGGAAGGTCTGCTGAAACCTGTCCACCATGGATGACCTTGCTGGTGTTTGAAATACCAGTGGCACAGCCTCCAGCCTCACAGCATCACACAAGCCACCATAGTCTGACAAACTGACAGACGAGTGGTGGATATCAACATGTACATGATATCAATGTGTCTTCTTACTGGTGATATGAACCTTGATTACTAAGTTATGGTGGCCTCTGTCAGGTTTTTCCATTGTAAAGTGACAATTTTCTCCTTTGTAATTAACAAATGTTTTGAATAAAATACTTTGAGATTACGCAAATTCCCTGTTTCTCACAAACTGTCACCCATTACCTTTAGTTTTGATTCTTGTCTGGAACGATTATTACTGTGAAGATCTAATGGTGACTTTCCAGTTCTCCCACTTGTCTACGTTTTTTAATTGGAATTCTTCTGTGAGAAAGATGTCCTTTCTCCCCCTTTATTTATGTGATCATTTATTTATATTATAATAGAAGGGTTTATCAACTTTTACTTTAAAAAGAATAAGTTTTTTATTATAAGCATACTTCTCTTAGCTAAAATAACTACACCTCAAGGAAAGCAAGCCCCTGAGTGGTATGTATTTCGATACTTGTGTTTGGTGATCAGAGTGATGAGAGGAGATGTCCCTGCTTGAGAGAGGAAAGGTGCCATCCCCCACCCAAATGACCCTGGGACCCCACTTACTGTAGCCCATCAGGGTGAGTGCTCCTACAAGCATGATCATAGTCTGTACAGCATCCGTGTAGATCACAGCAGCCAGGCCACCTATGAGATGGGCAGTGAGGTGAGTGAGGGCCAGTACTCTGATAAGGAGGAGTTATTCTAGGTAGCAGAGGGAACTTGGGAGGTTGTGGTAAGTAAGTTGCATATCAACTTGGCTGGGCTTGGTTTTGAGTGGCTGGGCAGCGGGATGTAGTTATTTCCCATGATGAGACTGGTCATCAACTCCATGGTGGAATCTACTGGAGCAGCTGAGTAGCTGCCTTAGGGCTGTGGTCTGCTTCCCATGTATAGGGAGAAGATATGAGAAAGGTCTCTAGCTTTTTGGCATGCTTGGATCCTGCATTTAGCCATGTTGCCTGCTGATCTTGGGACTGTTTCTGGACTCGAACTAGTGGTCTGCCATGCTGCTTGCTAATCTTGCGGCTGTGCCATGTTACTTGTTGACCTTGAGTTTGTAAGCCTCAGCAGCCAGCAGCTGCCTGAATTAAGAGAAGCTTTCAGCTCCAGTGAGCCAGGAACAAGAGAGAGAGCTGAAGCCCAAGGTTGAGGGGCCTTCACCCTGCCCCTAGAACTGGAACTTTGAATGTGTACTTCTAGCCTTCTAAACTGTAAGAGAATAAACCCCTGTTTGTTAAAGTCGAACACTTGTGGTGTTTCTGTCATAGCAGCATTAGAAAACCAATACAGACATCAGTACCTGACTAAGAAGATTTCCTAGTGTTGATTTTTTACAAAGATAGCCAAAATAACTCCTCCCACATACGTGTCCATTTTGCAATGTGACATTGCTGCTCCTTTGATGTTAATGTAATATTCATTTCTCTCTTGAAAATGAGCTTGGCCATGTGACTTGCTTTGACCAATAGACTGTGGTGGCTGTAATGCTGTGCAGCTCCAAGCCCTGACCTCAAGACACCCTATAGCTTCTGCTCTCACTTTCTTGCCCTGAGACATCCATGTTTCAAGAGCCCAGTCCTAGTCTAATGGGGGATGATGGCCTACAAGGAGGGAGACACCAGACATCAGCCCAAGCCAACCACCAGCCATGTACATGACGCTATCTTGGTCTAGCCAGCTATTCTAATTGCCATCTGACGTCAGTGACTCAAGTGAACCCAGATGAGACCAACAGAGCAAACACTAAGTCAATCCACAGAATTGTGAAAAATAAGAAGCAATTGTTATTTGGAGTCCCTAAACTTGAGGGTTGTTTGTTACACAGGAATCACTGGGTGGTACAAATGGTTAACATACTTATCTAAAAAGATGCATGTGAACGCATCTGCTCAGCACTTAGTAGGTTTTCAATAAATAGTTCTTGAATAAATTAATGGAAAGTAGTTTTATGCAGTTGTGGTGTCTTTTGAAATTCTCTCTCTTATCAGACAAGTCTCTTCCTTTGGATAATGGCCAAGAGAAAGCTTAAGTATCTGGGGCAGTGGAGTAAGGTTTCAGTCATACCTGCGACAGTGTAGAGAGCTGTGATGGCCAACAGCCCAACTATGGCCAGGTACAGATCCAGGTGCAAAGACTGCTGAATAAAGATGGCACCGGCATACATATCCACCTGGTGGGACATCAAGTTGAAGGAAGAATGAGTGAATGAATGGGCAGTTGCTACATAGGTCTCCTGAGACTAGCCCATAGCCTAGATTCTGATACACACATACGATTTCTAAATCATCCTTCCTTCCTTCATCTTGGCCCAGACCAGGAGTCCCAAGCTGGAGCCCTGTGGGCAATTAAGTTTGAGACCCCTGCCCTATGCTATTGCAACAGCTACCTCACTGGTCTTCCTGCTTCTACTCTTCGTTCATTTCATGCCATCCTCTACAGTTACTTAAGAGGACTTTATCAGACCATGAACATGTCAGTGCCTGTTCCCTATTACAACTCTTTAGTGCCTCCCCATTGCCCCCAATATAAAGTCTAAACTTTACCATCTACCTGCCTCCTGGGCCTCATTTCCTTTACTCACTTCATATTCCCAATCCTCTAGGCACTCTGAAACATCCCCTGTCCCCTTAACAAGTGGTGTTCATCCATGTCTCGAAGATTTGCTTGTGCTTGTCCATCTTTCTGGAGTGCCAATCCCCTTTCTCCAACTGGTAAGCCCTGCCACAGATGTCTCTTCCCTTGTGAAGGCTTCTCTATACCTTTCCATCAGCCTGTGAGTGAGCATTCTAGAACGGAGACTGTATCTCTGCCCCTCACATCAGGAGCTGGCACACACTTGATTATTGCTGTTGACGTTGAATGGAATCTGCTCTGTCCTCCCACCCAGCCACCCTTCCCAGTTGAGAGAGAAGACAGCCTCAGTGCGAGTCAGGCTTGCTGAGCGGCACATGCCCAGGGGTTGCGAGGCATGCTCTTTACCACTTTCCACATCCGCCAGTCTGATGGTCAGGGTGGGACAGGCCATCAGCACATCCAGTTAACAGCTGAGCACTGCCTGATCTCAAAAGGAAGAGAATGGTCCCAGTTGAGCATAGATAGGGGTCTTAGAATCCCATCCAAAGATGTCAAAGAAGCTTTGTGGCCTTGGGGTGGGGATGGGGGGGAGAGATGTCTTCCCTCTACTTTTTCGTCTACTTCCTCTGTCCCTGCGTACCCTCTCTCCACTCCCATGTCCCTCTAGACAGAGGCTCTCCTCCCCTCCCTTAAGTCTGTCTGCCCAAGAGGAGGAGAAAGTGGCTGAGGAAGAGACATGTCCCCTTCCCCCCAGGCAATGGACTATGACTTATCTTCTCACCATGCTGCAGGGACGTGGCCAGGCTGTGTCCCCGCCTTACCGAGATCTTGGTGAAGATGTATATAAACAGGTAGAGCACAGCCAGGATGATGGGGATCCTGTTGCCGCCAAAGCGTTTCCTTAGGTATTCTGGCATCGTGGTGACCTGGGCCCAGAGCAGAGCTTTCAACACCCAGCTGGCTCTGGGCACATGGCCTCCCTCACACCAGCCCCTCCTACCCACTCCTTCCTCTGCAAACTCAGAATAGTCTTCCTAAGAATTTGCATTGTAGACTTAAGAAGGGAGGAGAAAATAGGGGCAAGGGGTAGGTACCCATTTATCACAGTTCCCAAATATGAGGCATCTGTATACCCTATCATTTTAGCCATATCCTGGATCATTATTTACTTAATGCTTTGATTTAAATCAACTCACATTTATTTCACAAGTTTATCTAAAAAGGAAATGAAATCACCACTGTAATGGAAAATCAGGATCACCTTTCCTAAATTTAAGAGAATCAACAAAAATAAATACGTGGACAATAGAACCATTTCTTTTCTATTCTTTTCTTGCAATTTACTTTTGCACACCAAGGGCTCTCTGGACCTAGAGCCTGCTCATTCTTTCTTTATAAAAGGAAAAACAATGGGAGAATTGTTGGAGAGGTGTTAAAGGCATATTAGCACCAAAATGAGACTTTCCTCTTGAGTTCATTAAAGAAACCAAAAGACAACTGAAAAGGGAATATCTTCACTGTGTGACTCAGTGTACTTGGCCCCATATCTGTCTAATACCTACAATCATCTCAAGTACCTCCATTGGCCCATGTTCAAAATTTTTAAATTGCTCTACTGTGGACCTTTAACCTGTGATATACAGATGACACAACTTTGCTTGCTGAAAGTGAAGATGACTTGAAGCACTTACTGGTGAAGATTAAAGACTACAGTCTGCAGTATGGATTACATCTCAACATAAAGAAAACTAAAATCCTCACAACTGGACCAATAAGCAGCATCACAATAAATGGAGAAAAGATTGAAGTTGTCAAACATTTCATATTACTTGGTTCCACAATCAACACCAATGGAAGCAGCAGTCAAGACATCAGAAGATGTATTGCACTGGGCAAATCTGCTGAAAAAGACCTCTTTCAAGTGCTAAAGAGCAAAGATATCTCTTTGAAGACTAAGGTGCACCTAACCCATGGACAATGAATAAGGAAGATCAAAGAAGAGTTGATGCTTTTGAGTTGTGGTGTTGGTGAAGAATGCTGAAAGTACCATGGACTGCTAGAAGAACTAACAAATCTGTTCTGAAAGAAGTGTAGCCAGAATGCTCGTTGGAAGTGAGAATGGCCAGACTTCATCCCTTTAGAAGGGACCATTCCCTGGAGAAGGATATCACGCTTGAAAGTGGAGAGTCAACAAAAGAGGGGAAGGCCCTCAATGAGATGGATTGACACAGTGGCTACAATGATGGGCTTGTGAGGCTGGCACAAGACCAGACAGTGTTTCATTTTTGTTGTACATAGGGTCACTATGAGTCAGAGCCAACTTGACAGCACCTAACAACAATAACAACAGCCTGGTTATCAGGAGAAACTGGGAATTCTAGTAACATAATGAGCTGGCTACCGAAAGGGCAGAGTGACCAGAGACCTCTTTCCCCATGGAGACATTGAATTATGGCAGCCAAGGGAGGAGGGGTCATTACCATCTCCCGTTACTCTATCTTGCCTGGGTTGGGATGCCCAGGGGCTGAGCCATGGTGCTAAGAACCATTGTTTGGGCTGCACTTTTGTTGGGTCTGGGGATGTCCTTTCTCAATCTCCTCACCCCTACCACCTTCAAAGTTAGAGTTGAGACAATGCTATATCTTGACTCGGAGACCTCAAACCAATAGCTAGTTCCATGCAGAATGAGAACTCGTACGGGAAGGACGATATGATATTTGGTATGATGGTATGATATGGTGGTAAGATATTTGCATGAATGTATGCAGCTCTTTCTGCAGGTTGTTTCTGAGGTGGCTCCAACACCCAGGAAGGAGACCAAGGGCACCCAGCCTGGAGCTAATGAATGATATAGTGCCCATCCCAAAGTCAGACTCTAGAAGCAGAAGAATTTGGTGATTGATTAAGAAACTAGAAGGGGAGCCTTGGAGAGAGTAGATGGCCTGGCTTGCTTCAAGAATTTTTTTGTTGTTGTTATGTGCCATCGAGTCAGACCCGACTCATAGCGACCCCTCCTTGGGTTTCCGAGGCAGTATCACTACGGAAGTAGGATTGCCCAACCTTCCTTCCGAGGAGTGGCTGGTGGGTTTGAACCGCCAGCCGTCTGGTTAGCAGTCAAGTGCTTTAGCCACTATGCTACCAGAGCTCCTGCTTCAAGAATAGTAAATGGTAATTGTCCAGTCTAGGTAGTGGCTATAGGTGTGGTTCAGTGTAAAATTATTTCAAATTTTATGTAAGTTTGACATTTTTTCATAATATTGGGAAAAATAAACTCAAGTGTAAGTGAACATTTTTAAATAGAAAAATGACTCCCTCCCTGCTAAAGGAGCTGTAGTGGTGCTGTGGTTAAGGCATTTGACTGTTAACCAAAATGTCAGTGGTTCGAACCCACCAGCTGCTCCATGGGAGGAAGATGGGGCAGTCTGCTTCCATAAAGATTTCCAGCCTTGGAAATGCTATGAGGGTCACTGTGAATTGGAATCAACTTGATGGCAGTGAGTTAGTTTTTGGTTTTCCCCCAAGAAAGAACAGTTGCGGATCACACACCTCATGACTGTCTTACCTCAAACTTTTGATCTGCTGCCAGCAAATAAAGGAGGAATTTTCTAGAAGTACATTATACACTGTCTCAAGAAAAGATTTGACCAAACCTTCCTGAAACTTACTCCTAATTACAGAAATCATATGAGAGCAATAGTCCACTGAGATAAATTCACTGAGGAAGACACTCCTCAGAATGGCTACACTATCTTATCTGTGAATGACAACTACCAGCTGGTCTTGGTTTGGGAGGGAGACTCCTGTTACTGACTAACAGCCTTTATTGTCAATTGACCTTTGTTTGAGTCTACAAAGAATGACACTTGGCTATCTTCAGCCTTCACAGGCAGCTTAGAGATGGAAAAAACAACCCACTGCCATGGAGTTGATTCTGACTCACAGCACCCCTAGAGGACAGAGTAGAACTGCCCACAGAGTTTCCAAGACTAATCTTTACAGAAGCCAATTGCCTCATCTTTTTCTGGCTGAGTGGCTGGTGGGATTGAACCACTGACCTTTTGCTTGGCAGCCAAATGCCTTAGCGATAAAAGTCATCAGAAAGCAATTGGCATTGGAATCTGGAGTCAGGTTCTGGGGAGAAATGTGAAACCAGCTGACAGATGGGCGGCAATAGTTTGCACTGTTTGCTGTAACGCAACTAAAAAGGGAATTTGCCACAAGCAAGATAGAGAGAGTAGAGATGGGTTCCCTCCATAAATGTGACCTTACGTGCACCGTAGCACAAAGACAAGAATGTTCATAGCAACGTGTTCATTGTAGCTGAATGCTGGGAATGACCTAAGTGCCTGTCAACAAAAGCATGAATAAGCACTTTGGGATGTATTCATGTAAAAGAATACTATAGAGCTGTGAAAATGCACACACCAGCTACACACAAGAGAATAGGTGAGCCCGATTCCGTCTATATACAATTCAAAAGGAATAAAATTAAACTATGTTGCTTAGGGATGTATAATTAAAATGATTTTTAAGAAAGGTGGGGGGGGGGGAGAAGTGAATACTATAAAGGCCAGGAAGAAGGGAATAAGTTAAGATCCGCCAAAGACGTGTGAAGGGGCCCTGGTGGTGTGGTGAAGGCATTTGGTTGCTAACCAAAAGGTTGTTGGTTTGAACCCAAGAGCTGCTCTGTGGAATAAAGATGGGACAGTCTGCTTCCATAAACATTTTCGGTGGCTGTGAGTCGGAATCGACTGGATGGCTTTGATATATTTTTTTTAAGGCACGTGGGTGAGATTGGTTTGTTTTCTCTTTTGATCTGGGGGTTCACTTCACGGTAGTTAGTTGACCTGAGCATTTGTGTTTCATGCACTTTTCTGTGTGTTTGTGGAGCCCTGGTGTGTGGTAGTTAAGCAGGTTGGGCTGCTACCCGAAGGTTGACGGCTCAAACCCACCAGATGAGGCAGTGTGCTTCCATAAAGATTTATAGCCTTGCTACGGGACAGTTCTGCTGTGTCCTATAGGGTCACTACGAATCAGAATTGACTCAACAACAATGAATTTTCTGTGTGTTTATTTTATTTTACCATAAAAAATGGATTGGGTAGCTTATATCTTTTCTCAACATTCTGGAATTTTTTTTTCTATCTAGTATGGTCTTAATCTCTTCTTTGAATATTTGTAAGATGCCGTCCAAAGAGTCTCTGTTGTTGCTGTGGGCTGTCAAATTGATTCCGACTCACTGAGACCCTATAGGACAGAGTAGAGCTGCCCCATAGGTTTTCCAGAGCTGTAATCTTTACAGGGAGCTCTGGTAGCATAGTGGCTAAAGCACTTGACTGCTAACCAGAAGGCTGGCGGTTCAAACCCACCAGCCA